AAATAAAAGAAGTCTGAAATAATCTTGTTATAATGCAAGCACTATGCAATGGATGCTATCTCCTTTTTTTTTTAACGTTTTTACGTTTTTAAGCATGATATGCGCAGGAGGCCATATTTTATCAAATTTAGTGGGACATCCTCTGGCCTTGTAAGTTTTTTCATAAAGAGGTAACACTTTGTTAACCAGGCGTTTCCAAAAATTAATACTAACTAAGGCCACTGTGCATGACCAGTTCAGTACTATGGTTTTCCTGGCTTAGAAAAGCAATAGGTATAGAAAGCAGTGGTGGAACTACTGCCATAGCTGCCCATGGGGCTGCTATGGGGCCAGGGGCAGAGGGAGGGCCCATTCGGGACCAGGAGGGGTGAGTTGCCTCTTGGGGTCATGCCTGACCTGAATTTCCATGGATTGATCTCTCGTGTACCGATTCAACTTTTCTCCTGATTACGTTTGTCTGCTGCTGCTGCACTCATCTTTGGCCTGTTTTCCGGATCTCCGTTTGCTCTGCCCATCCGTCCTTGCCTGTACTGTCGCTTGTGTCTTCGGGTAATCTCCACGTGAGCACGGTGAATCTGGGGGTGGGGACCTGGGTTCAGTACGCAGCTAAGTCCAAACGTCCATGAGGGGGTTCAGTACTATGGTTTTCCTGGCATAGAAAAGCAAAAGGTATATAAAGCAGTGGTGGAACCACGGCCATAGCTGCCCATGGGGCTGCTATGGGGCCTGGGGCAGAGGGAGTGCCCATCCAGGACCAGGAGGGGTAAGCTGCCTCTTGGGGTCAGTCAGCGCCCACTATTTTATTACTTGCTTACTTCTGTAAGGCTCCTCCATCCTCCCTGTCATCCTCCCTGTCAATGATCTCCTTCTAAAGTCTGACTGCTCTAGTTCTGATGTTAGTCTGCAGGTGTTAAGGAGGAGAGAGTGCACGCAGCCTGACTAAGGTACTAAGTTACTGCCCAACTGCCGCTAATTGCTGTATGCTGGGAACAGGGATGGGGTGATTGTGCACAACACAATGCCTACCATTACTAAATCTTGGGGGAGGGTATTATCATTAACACTGCGACCAATAAAGTTGCTACCAATGAACACTGTGCAATTATAACCCCCCCTTTCCCTTGCTTCCCTGGTGGCAGTGTTAAGGACCTATGTTCAGATTATGTGGTTTTTGCAAAGAAAAAAGCAGATCACATCACATAGAAAACAGTTGTGTTCCAATGTTCCCTGTTCCCACACAGACATGCTGCAGTTTTCTGGATTCACACACGAATCGGCCTGCACGCACAGCTCCGTGCTGTGTGCGGGCCGTGCCAAGCAGCTGCCGGGAAGGACAGGTGCTGCGTGTGATTAGTACGCAGCCCCCGTCCTTCTCTATGGGGCCCCCCTACGCTCATCTCAATTGCAGGTCTGTAGGGGGTGTGGGTTTTCTGGCCGGGACGCATACAAGATCCATTCTGGCGGCGTATGAATACGCTCTATGGGGCCGAGTAGCCCCATAGAGAAGGACGGGCCTGCGTACTAATCACACGCAGCACCTGTCCTTCCCGGCAGCTGCTTGGTACGACCCCGCACACAGCACGGAGCTGTACGTGCAGGCCGATTCGTGTGTGAATAGGGCCTTAGACTCTCATTAAAGTTGAAACAAAGTTTCTAGTTAAAAATAATATATGCTGTAGTCCATCCCCTGTGGCACATGACTGTAGTTATCAGGGTGTTGTTTAATAACTTTTTTGCTGGGAAAGGGACCCCACAAACATTCTGCTATGGGGCCCTGTAAATTCCAGTTATACCCCTAGTATAAGGGGGACACTGAGATCTATGTCCCAAAATATGCTAAATAGACATCAGTCTGGGGTACATATGTTGGGAATATTACAATACTGAGAGATGAATTCAGTGACTGATTTTGACACAATTCCACACCATATAAAGAAAATCTGTCTACCAATTGACATCTGTCTACCAATTGACATTTATAAAAGATAGGTGTATCTCCTTTGCCCATTTTAAATGATCTAAAAGGTGTAAAATACCAGAGTTGTTTGAGATTTTCTCTTGCAGATATAACCATGAAAAATTAGGAATTGGAGAATTCTATCAAAACTTGTTCAGTTATGTCAGGGGTATACCTACTCCATTGTTCCTGAATGTTGGGTAATGTAGATGCTTACTCTGTAAAAGGGTAACATATAAACTGGAAATTAAAAGAGTATTCTGCGGATGGGTTAATACCCACCCACTCCGATAAGATGGACTAAAGTAAGGCTCCCTGCAACCCCAGTTGGGCTGCCGCTCCATGCCTGACATGCAGATATCTAAAATACCAGGCAGCAAATAAAATAGATACTAAGGAGTTTATAAAGGGATATAAACTGGGGAGTTAGCAAGTATATTTAGAAATATTGGAATAAGCACAATTTTAAATAAATTGACTCTTCCAAAGAGAGTAAGAGGGAGTTCTATCCAGACGTCTATCATACACTTTAAAGTTGTGATAATTTGAAGGATTTTTTTCTTTTGAATTTGTTCCAAACAAGAGCTTTGAATTGTGGCCAGGTGGCATATAAGGGCCAGTGTGTATGTTTTCCCCAGCACGCACCACGGGCCATTAACATCCTAGTGTTCAAAACATATCATTATTGATTCTTGTGCTCTATTGCAAGGTCATACCTAGCAGAAGACTGATACAAACAGTAACAGAGAGCTTAGGGGAAGCCAAATGAGCACAGACTATCAAATCAGGATCAGACTGACTACAGTCTGACATCAGCTACATTTAAATAGCCACTCCTGTGACTACACCTATTAAAGCAGTGTGGTCAGAGAGCTCTTTTTGGGCATTACAGAAATCATTAGGCAGAGGGATAACAGTGCCCTCAATGTTGTGAATTTATTGCTCAACATTTGTCCTTCTGTGCCTCATTTCTGTTTATCTGTGAGGTTAAAGTGACATTAAAGTCACAAATCCCCTCCCCC